CAGATCTGGGAACTTTTTTACTAATAAAATAATTAATTCGTCGTTCATTTTCATTAATTTATTAACACAGAACGCATTGATAAAACAAATAGCGCGAATGTCAGAAATAATTTGACATATTAAACTCATTTTCTATTGGTTTCGATAATGCTGCGTTTCTATTGGCTACCGGGAACGAGAAACTTAAAACTTAACCAACTTTCTCGTTTCCGTTCGCGGGATGTTTCTCGTTCTCGTTACCGAAAATTTGTTGTGCATGTGTACATTGACTTATGTGCGTTTAATTTTTTTCTCGTTACCGTTCTCATTTTCGTTTCCGTTCCCGAGTAATTGTGCAGCCGCCTTTAGACAATCGCCACATAAATACAGGATGTTTAAAAAAACATGCGCCAACGCTCGGCTGGAGATTCCTTATCCAAAAATAAGAAGAAAAAGTCAAATAAACGTGGGTCCGAAAATGCTTAGTTTTTAAGATACAGGGTGTATAATATTTTTTTTTAAAACGGCTTTTTTAAAATATCTTAAATATCCTTTGGCCGATTCTGTTGAAATTTGGCGTTAAAATTTTCAAGTCCAGTGGCGTCCCGGGGGGCACCTTAAGAAATATTATTAAGAAAAAAAATGTGCGCCACTGATTTTTTTGCAGGTTTTATACATTTTTTAGATTAAGCCACTAAAAATACATGTTTTTTGTCTCATGAGTATTTTTCGTATCTTACCTCGTTTTAGAAAGAAAAAATAAAAACCACATTATTACATGAAAATTGACAAAACTCATATTTTATACTTTTTGCCATGTTTGATCTTTTAAAAAATGATTCCAACTACCTAAACAAAAACTGCCTCTTGTTATTTTTTGTTAAATCAAGCTGTTTTTTATGAACATTTATTTTTTGAACCCTTAAATAGACAATTAACTTACTTCTAAAATATTAACTAAAGATAATGATGAAAATGACCACCACGTAGGCACGTAGCCTACGACGTAAGGACTTTCGTACTCTGGCGATTTTCTTTAATTGTTTGAAATCCTTCGTGTATTCGTTGCATTAGTTCATCTCTTGTAAGAACAGGCGTTTTATACACAATTTCCTTTAGATGACCCCAAAAATAAAAATCCAAAGGATTTAAATCGGGTGAACGAGGTGGCCAACGAACAGGACCTCCTCGTCCAATCCAACGAACACCGTATGTTTCATTGAGATAAGCTTGAACATCGGCTGCAAAATGTGGCGGCGCCCCATCATGCTGGAACCACATGCGGCCTCTTACATGCAATGGGATCAATTCCGGCAAATCGTTGGCGATAAAATTTAAATAGGATTCATGGTTCAGCCTATTAGGTAAAACAACTGGCCCAATTATTTCATTATCAATAATGCCGGCCCATATGTTGATGGAAAATTGGTATTGTGAATTGGCTATTCTTAATAAATTTGGATTCTCGTCAGCCCAAGTATGTAAATTGTAAAAATTTATTATTCCTTTTCTGGTGAATGAAGCTTCATCTGTGAATAGTACCTACATTTCGGGAAAAAATTCTATGGTGCCTTAACTTCCTTAGAAACCATTGGGAAAATTCTTGCCTGGGAATAAAATCCCTAGGCAACAACTCTTGGACTTTTGTAAAGTGGTAAGGCTTCAATTGTTGCTCCTGTAGGGTCCACAGAGGACGCTGATATTCCTAACTCATTTGCAACAATTCTTGTACTTGTAGTTGGGTCATTTTGAACACTATTTAAAATAGCTTCTTCAACTTGAACGGTACGCCGGTATCTTCTACGTCCAGAATTAAATTTGGCTGGTTTTAGAGAACCAGTTTGCCTTAAGCGACGAAGTAAATTTTCAAATGTATTCTTATGCGGAATTCGTGTTTGAGGAAATGATAAATTCTTACTGCTTAGTGTGCATTTTGCCTCGCTTCACCAAAAGGCATTTTTACACATCTAACAAATTCACTTTAACACAAAAGTATCTCTACTTGAAAGCAATAATATAAAATTTATTTAATTTTCAATCTGCCAATCTTTTACTTATTCCAAAGCCCACTTATTTATTCCTCAAACATAATAGTGTAAAATATGCGTTTTGTCAATTTTCATGTAATAATATGGTTTTTATATTTTCTTTCGAAAACGAGGTAAGATACGAAAAATACTCAAGAGACAAAAAAGTTGTATTTTTAGTGGCTTAATCTAAAAAAGTGGCGCACATTTTTTTTCTTAATAATATTTCTTAAGGTGCCCCCCGGGACGCCACTGGACTTGAAAATTTTAACGTAGTTAAAGAAAAATTAGCTACTTATTACTATAAATAACGTTGCCAAATTTGAACAGAATCGGCCAAAGGATATTTAAGATATTTTAAAAAATCTGTTCTAAAAAAAAATATTTAACACCCTGTATCTTAAAAACTAAGCATTTTCGGACCCACGTTTATATGACTTTTTCTTCTTATTTTTGGATAAGGAATCTCCAGCCGAGCGTTGGCGCATGTTTTTTGAAACACCCTGTATAACCTTAAGAGTAAATGCCATATCTGTGGGTAAAAGGCATAAGGGGATAAGTCAAAAAAATCAATTTTTTAGCAGTGCCTTAAAAGTGTTCGCATTAATTTAGGAAATACATTTATGGTTAGCGGGTATACCCTTTTGCCAGCACATGCCATATGCTAGCAAAAGGGTATACTCGCTAACCATAAATATATTTCCTGAATTAATGCGAACACGTTTAAGTCTCTAGCAAAAAATTGCTTTTTTTGAATTATGCCTTTTACCCACAGATATTAGAGTGATTTGATATTTTTAAACAATGAATTTTGACGATATTTTATTAAACAATTTTATAAATGATCTTAAAGATGCAGAAGAACAAAATTGATAAATAACGCGATTGTTACAATAGGTTGATAAGTCAAATTTGATTGAGATGAAATTTAAAAAAATCCGTGCACTTGCCAAGAAATTTGATTGGCTACGAAATGCGACAACGCGTTGCAACGCCGCAAAATGTTTCTCACCTGAAATCTCCCATCACATACTTTCGAGAATACGACTTTTCGGTATCATTCAATAACGGTTGGATGTGAAATATCCCATTACAGAAGTGATCTTTCGCTTCGCTTATTTTGGAGTATAGCGCCCCTGGTGCTTGTACCTGTTGAATCTCTAAATTAACTAGCTGTTGTGTAATACAACTAAACGTTTATTAAAAAAATACAAATCACTACCAGAGCTTTCAGGAAACGAAAAGCTTGTATTTTATTTAACTTAAGTTATTTTACTGACTTAAATTATTTCAAATAAATATTTGGCTTTTCCGTGGCCTTTCCGGACATGGGTTCCTATGCTCAAAATACTTGCCCATGGCCCCTTCAATTTTGCCAAAGTTACTGAAGAAAATATTTTAGTAATTATTAGTTAAAAGATTTGTCATTTTAAAAGGCTTAAAACTTAAATTATTTAAGGACCTATGTTTAACAGAAAAAAAACTTAAGATTTAAATGATTTTTATGTATATATATATATATATGTGTGTGTTGAACGTTTCCCGGGATCTGCTCCGTGTTGTGGGCTGACGACGTTTTGGTACAATCTCATGTACCATCTTCAGGTTTTATCTGCTGGGCTGCTCTGCTGCGAGTTAGAGATGGAGTGAGCTCCGTTGCCGTAGATCGTTGTTTATATACCCTCTTAGCGTCATTAACCATGACTGCGATAGTATTTCTGTTATGTTCGGCTCCATTGATCTCGTTAATCTGCGTGGCGTTTTGATGGTTGTAAGAGCTGGTTTCCATGAAATTGGTAGCCTCTGTGTATCGTCTCTTGTGTTTGGTTGGTTTCTTGGACATTTTTTTACTTCAATGGGTTCACGGATGGTACGTTTGGTCCTGTGTTCGATGCTAGCCAATACCATTATTTTTCCAAAGTCAATTTCATGGGAAGTTTTTCGGACGTGTTCAGCTAAGGAAGATGATTATTCTTGTTTCAAAACTGCGTGACGATATTCTTTGCGTTTAACGTTAATACGTCTATTGGTCTGTCCCATGTAGCTTCCGTCACAATTCTTACAAGGAATTTCGTACACCCCCTCTGCCTCCAGCTCTATTTTTGGTTTCGCCTTTGGAAGTATTTGACCGATCTTTCTTGGGGCGGTGAATGTGGTCTGAATGTTATGTTTTTTGATGTGGGGAAGGAAGGCCTTTGAAGTTGGTTTGTGGTATTTAACTGGCGTCGTGGTGTAAGAGCCTTTTTGATGATGGTTTTGGAGAATCCGTTTTGCTGTATCGTCGTTTGGATTTTCAGGTCTTCTTGTTTCTTGTGGTCATCATCCGCCAGCCTTTTATATTTTAATATTTGCAGACACTAACAGTTTTTTAAAATATTTTGAAAACAAAATTGTTATCATTTTTGGAATCAGCGCACCCTAGAAAAGGTGTTGAACACCATGTGACAAATTGCTGTCGACCAGTGTAATTTTTAAATGATGTTTCAACATAAAATTAAAATAAAAACTGTGTAAAGGCTAATTTATAGATTGCCACCCTTCCTTCCTTTCTCCCGTAGAAGATGAACAATACAAAAACCGTTGTGATGTTTAAAGATTCCCGTACGGGAGAAAGGAAGGAAGGAAGGCAATCTATAAATCAGGCTTAAGGTGTTTATAAAAATAAAACTAATTTTTAATAAATTAATGTTTTATAAAAATATTACAGGATTTCTTGTATTATTATTATTATAATTATTATTATTATAGATAAAATACAGCACGTTTTTACAGTTATAAAAAGGTTAACTATAGGGTAGTTTAAATAAAAACTATTTTGTAATTGTCTTATTTTGGGTTATTAAGATTTGCTTATTTTTAATATCACAATACTTATTAAATATCACAATAAATTATGTTTAAATAATCCTATGTATACATATAAGGCATTTCTTTAATTCAGTTTTATTGTCATTGAAACTAATTTTTGCATATTACATCCACAATTCTTTATAGTTAATAAATCATTCCTATAAATACTTTCAAAATATAAACTAAAATGCAAAGTGTAAAATTGTTAAATGAAAATTTGGCAGTGGTGGCAACGTTAGTTGATTCTTCACTGGGGTAGTAATCCCCACAGCGGGGAAAGTTCTTCGGAACAGGAGCCATGTCCTTGTTTTCTCCCACTTTTAACACCAACGCCATTCCCAGCTCTACGTGGAATTCGATGTGACAGTGGAATAACCAGTAACCTTTATCAAAATAACAATATTAAAATGTTGCATTTACATATTATGTATATTTATCAAAAATCAAATCTAAAAATGTTTTGTTTGCTTTTTTTGTAAAAAAACATATTTAAGATTCAAATATGTACTATTTTTTCTGACATGTCATGTAATACCTTTTGATGACCAAAAATTTATTATTATTATTATTATTATTAATACTAAACTACTCAAAACGAATTAAGGACCACTTTTTAAAATACATGTATCTTTTTTAACTTTTAAGCAACCCTCGTATATTTTTATAGGCTTGTACTCATATTATGTATAATTTATTTTATGTAAACAAACATTTTTTGTTTTCATAACTTTTTGTAGAAATGCGATTTGTTTAAAAAACAGTGCATTTTAACATTTATTGTAAGTCATTTTAGTCGTTGTTGTGCATTGTGATAAGTTCAATAATTAATTAAAATGAATGTTGATGCTCTAGGAAGGCCTCTTCATCAAAGGAGGCATTTAAATCAGGTTGAAGTAGTGACAGCGGTTAATTTATTTCAAGAAGGACATTCGGTTAGAAGTATTGCCCAAAGATTTCAAACAAGTCATTCGGTAATTTCTAGACTTCTTAACAGACATAGAGAATTTGGTTTTATCACTAGAAGACCTTATCCGGCAAGAGAACGAGTCACAAACCCACGTGAGGACCGTAATTTGGTAAGGTTAGCCACCCAAAACCGAGCCAGAACAGCAAGAAACATTGCTGATTTACATTTTGACGCCAGCGAAAGGCGAATATCCACTCAGACAGTTAGAAATAGACTTCATGAAGCCCATCTACGTTCCAGAGTCCGAGCTGTTAGGCCCCAGTTAACCCGTGCGCACCGAAGAGCTCGATTAACTTTTTCTCGAAATCATATCAATTGGGATATGGATCAGTGGGGACACGTGCTCTTTTCAGATGAGTCTAAATTTCGACTTAGCCACAACGATGCACGTGTACGAGCATGGAGGCGTAGAGGTGAGCGTTATTTAGATTCAACTGTAACAGAAACTGTTCACTTTGGAGGTGGCTCACTTATGGTCTGGGGAGGTATAACTTTAACGGGGCGTATAGGTTTGCATATCTGTAGGGATGGTGTGGTAAATGCTCATAGGTATTTGGAAGATATTGTAGAACCCTATATAGTCCCATTTGCCGCAGAAGAAGGTCCACAGTTTATTCTACAGCATGACAATGCGAGGCCCCACACTGCTCGTATTGTCACACAATATCTTGAGGAGAATAATATCGAGGTTTTAGAGTGGCCCGCAAACTCCCCCGATCTAAATCCTATTGAGCATCTCTGGGATGTTCTTCAGAGAAGGATAAGGGATCGTCCGGCACCAGAAAATTTGGAACAGCTTGGAGAAATGCTTCAAGAGGAATGGAACAATATTCCCAGAGAAGTAATCAGAAATTTAGTGGAATCGATGCCTAGACGATGTGAAGAAGTTCGGCTAGCCAGAGGAGGACACACACATTACTAATTTTGTTGAAAATATTATTTATAGTTTATTTAAAAAAAAAAAACATTTGTGAAAAATTAAAGTTTTATTTTCCAAGCGTTTATTTTTTATTTGATTTAAAAAATATATACTCCATTTAAAACCCTAATGTTTTTCAGAACTAACAGCAGTTACAGAATGTAAAAAAAAGTTATAAACAAGTTTAAAAGTGGTCCTTAATTCGTTTTGAGTAGTTTATAAAAAATATAAAACAGTTAATTCAAACAACGATAAAATGCGGCTTTAAAAAAACAAGAGTCTTGCTCATTATAATAAATATATATTATGTATCAAGTTTGATAAACGCCATTTTAGACACGAATTTAATTAATGAGTGTCTAGAAAAGTTTATAAACGAGTTGCATACTATACTTTTTCTACGACAATTACCATCTATAAAACAATAGGGGAATCTGTGTTACCGTCAAATGTCAAATTTGTATGTGTTATAAACAGATAACAAATCAAAATGTATCAATTGAAAATAGATTAAACAACAGTTTTTCACAGTGAAAGTAAAGAAAACGTTTTATTAGCACTTCACGGTGGAGTCCGCCCCCGACTTTAAGTTATATCTAGTTTACTGCCGGCGAAATTAAAAGGTCAGTACGTTTATATAAACTTTGCAAATATTGGCGTTGCGAAACTATTTAATGCTTCTGTATTTTTGTATTGACGTAATAAAATAATTTTCACATTTAGTATTATTTCACAAAAAAAGACACTTTATTTTAACGATTGTATGACATTTGACAACTGTCAACTAACTTAAAGCTAACTTTAGCTCGTGACTAAAAACCTGTTTCTAACTTCAGGCAGACTAAATACAGGGTGTCCCTAAAATGTCACTAACTGAGTATTGTTTAAGTTTCAATTTTGTCATTTTAATGTTTTAAAAATAAAAGGTTCAAAATTTGTCAATAAAAAAATCAGGATTATTAAAAACATGGACATATTAAAAGGGTGGACGCGTAACGCCCACTGTTGTGTATAAAAGTGAAGAGGTAAAAAACTGAACCGAAATTTCATTGTCATAACCTTAAAGCGTTAGTTTTGTGTGTTTTTGTTAAAATATAATAGTGGTTTGTTCTGCGTTAGGTTGTAAAAGTTATATATATATATATATATATATATACAGGGTGTTTCAGAATTAGATGCATAATATTTTTCAAAAAATATCTAGACCACATCCTGTACGGACGGCACTGGTAAAAAAAATAAAAAATCTTCTACATAAAAAACTTACTGTTAATGCTTATAAGACACCGTGTATAATATGTTATCTTAAAATTAAAAATCAACCATTTATTTATTATAACAACCCGTTATTTTAATGTATAGGTAAAATAAATCATCATATTAGTTTTGGATTACATTTTATAAAAAAAACAATGCTTATTTATAGGTACACAGAAAAACTAATATACATAATATGTAAAAAAACGTTTAAAAATAATCTCGCTAATCTCGCAAATTTAACTTAATAAAACACTTATATTTACAATTTAAAGTGTGTACATATTTTTTATAAATTTTCCTGCATGATTTATAATAAATCATGCTATAAAATTTATAAATCGTTTATATTATATATGTACATAAGATGGAACGAGTAAATTGATTTATTTTGGGTGAATTTAATGTAAAATTTGCGGTGAATTTACATATTCTATAAGGAATCATTATTAAGGATATTTTAGTCACTTTATATTATTATAGATATCTTTGATATAAGTATTTAAAGAAACACTGCATTTTTGCAACTTATAATAAAATACAGTGTTTTTGTACTTTCTTGAAGCTCGCATCATTGAAAAACTACAGGCCATTAAAATAATTGAGCAATTACGTTAATCAAGGAGTAGCTCGCTACACGTATTAACTTTACTATCAATTTAAGCTGTAGACCTTTCTGTACCTGTACATTATTAAATGTCAGAAGTTGATCAATCTACCTTGGTTTTTATCTAGAAGTAAAACAAATTTTAATGCTTATTACTTATGGAACAACAGGCATTTCTTATTTAAAATTTGTTGTGTCCAACCAAAATTATGAATCTGTCCTCGTCTAGATGATCCGGCAACACTGATTGATTGATTTGGTGGAATTTCGTTTTTAAAGTAAATTATAAAATAAACATAACATAACATAACATAACAACATTACAAACATAAAATTGTATTAAGTTATTAATTATAAGTTATTTTTTTTATAATTATACAATCCTTCTACCTATAGGTATACCACAGAAGGTTTTCGTCTCTTTATTTTCTGCTCTTTAGATTTTCGCTACATTCAACATACTGCATGTTTTCTGTTGCTTTTTTAATAATTTTTTCTTTGTAGTGGACTCATTTTTATATTTTAAATAACATTGAATATGCGTCGTTTTCAAAAAAACCCGCCTTCCGCTGTCCGTAAGTTTGAATTCCAATATCTTTGTTAAAAATTATCGGATCTTATTGATTTAAAAACCAAGTGAAAGCCTTTCAAGCCTTTAAGTTACTCAAAAAATAATAAAAATCTAAGTTGTTATTCTGCAAGTGAGCACCACTACAAGGGATTTTGTTTATGCATTACTCTAAAATCATACCACCCTATATAGTTTCTTTTTTATGTTATCTGATTAAGTCCTTTGTGTACCCCAGTCCGTTGTGATACCAATGTCTATTTCGTTACTTTTTTTAGTTTTTGTTAAAAAAAAATCCTTAAAATGATTTTACTATCACTTGTAATTAGAGTTGGGGATGGTCAATTGACCGCGGTCAATTGACTGTCAATTGACCGCTACCTATTTGACCGGTCAAAATAGATTTAATTTTTGCAGCATTTTATTTAGCTATCAACAATTACCCGTGAATCTCAAAAATTTTGCGATCGTGCAATATCGACATCATTTACAATTTGGTGGTTCCCCGAGTCGAGGGGTTGCTAGGCCGGACTCGGCGCTTTGCCCTTAAAGCGGGACATATCTTTTTTAATAGCGAAACATAACTTTTTAAAGCCGCACAAACGTTTCTAAAGATGGACATAACTTTTATAATTAAAAAAAAATTGGTAACGTATTTTAATTACCTATTTATTAAGTACAAATAAACCACAGTAATATTTATTTTGATATTTAATTTAATTTAATTTTGGTTAATTGACCGGTCAATTGACCAAAGACAATTTGACTGGTCAATTCCACAACCCTACTTGTAATACCTGTTTATAAATTAGAGTTTAACTCACTAATACAGTGACTAAAAGAAAATATTAATGGTATTGTTTTTTAACAAAGAATCGGAATGGTGCCTTTTAAAAAGTAACTTAACTAACATAAATATTTAAAAAAGGCACACTTTTTAATAAAAAATAAAATTTGAGTCAAAAGTTTGTGAACTAAGTACATTTTATTTCAAATTATTTTTATAACAACTTTGTTTATTGAATTAAATTTTGGATTTCAAATTGGTAACACAGTGGAGACATATAAAGCTAGCTAAACACATTTTTCTGAAAAAAAAGTAAAAAAAAATTTAAAAGGTGCACTGCCTGTCTTAAATGTAAGTAAACAAAATTCTAAACATTTATAAAAATACAACCAAAAGTCAATTTAAGCAAAAAAAATTTTGATCTTCATTTTCCTGAAAGCGGGTGTTTCTTGAAAATGACCCATATAGCACGTCATTGCCGAAGTGAAAAGCGTTACCATAGAAACCAACTAATAACAACTCGCATTGTTGTCGCGTGTTCTATTTTTACGTTTTTTAATTTACGTTCTTAAGCAACAATATATTCCTACTGGGCCTCCTTACGGAGACATGGACCCTGAAAGGACTCCCCTGCAAATTGGTTTTCCTTGAATAACTTTTAAAGTACTAAATATAATTTAATAAAAATTTAATATGATGGACCCTGGTAAGGATCTCTTAAAATAGTGTCATTGAATCATGTTTTACTTTTTTCGTTTACCAGGGGCGGACTAAGTTTTACTTCTTAATGCTTAAATTTTGAACACCCCGTAAGACAAAGATTTGAAAAAACTAAATCTGCACAGCTTGAACCTTTAACTAAAATAAACGTTCTCTTGTTTATTGTCAATAAAATGAACCGTTTTCGAGAAAAAGAATAATAAACAAATTCATGTTTTATTTTTTAATAAAAAGGACCATAAAAAAATAATATTATAACGTATTGTTGCAAACCTTAAATTGAAGGACGATAATTCGAAACAATTAATTAAAAACTTTATAAGACGGTTCAACATGGGCTCCGTAAATTCTGATACATTCGCGGGCACGACGAATTGACTGCTATACTTGCCACAATAACCCAGAATTGTTTCTTATCATATCACAATGAAACGTGATTATCTGTAGAAGTTTCTCCCTAGTATCGATTGAAGTGGAATACACCAAGGATTTACCAAAAAAGGTATCACGAATTTACACAACACACATGTATGGGCTGATGAAAATCCTCATGCCACTATTGTTTCCCATTATTAACATGTTCCAACCAATTAATATGTGGGCAGGAATCATTGGCAATATTTAGATTGGACCATTCGTATTCGGATTGAATGGACAACTTTATTTGAAGTTTCTCCAGAACGCTTTCCGGGATTTAATAGAACCCTTACCACTTGAAACCCGCCTAAACATGTACTTCTTGCACGATGGGGCACCACCTCATTTCAGCATTGCTGAGCACTTGAAAAACGTTTATCCAAACCGTTGGATAGGTAGAGGAGGACCTATTGACTGGCCTCATCGATCTCCCGACCTTACGCTGATATTTTTTTTCCTGTGGGGACACCTAAAAAACTTGGTGTATTCCACTCCGATCGATACTAGGTAGGAACTTCTACAGATAATCACGTTTCATTGTGATATGATAAGAAACAATTCTGGGTTATTGTGGCGGGTACAGCAGTCCTCAATTTGTCGTGCCCGCGAATGTATCAGAGTTCACGGAGCACCTGTTGAACCCTCTTATAAAGTTATTAATTAATTGTTTCGAATTATCGTCCTTTAATTTAAGGTTTGCAACAATGCGTTATATTATTTTTTTATGGTCGTTTTTATTAAGAATAAAACATGAATTAGTTTATTATTCTTTTTCTCGAAAACGGTTCATTTTATTGACAATAAACAAGAGTACCTTTATTTTAGTTTAAAAGTCTTGGAATTTTTTTATAATTTTCAAATAAAGGACCTTTGACAAAATTCTCATTTGATCCAAGAAATGCAAATGAGTTTCTAAACATGTTTAATTAATAACAAAAACTAAACTGAAATCTGAAAAACGTTTGTGGGCATTAATATTATTATTATTACCTGGATTGTCCGCTTTAAATCGTATGATCGTGTAACCGCCATCGGGCACGGTAATGGTATCCTTGACTGGGGGCGTGAGCAGGTTGCGTTTGATCAACCCCAAGCGGTCGCGCTCCTGTACCTCCGCCACTGTGATGTTTTTGCCCAGACGTTCCATGGCTACCACGCGGAAGCCGTAGCCGTGCAAATGCAGCGGGTGGTTTGCGTCGTACGCGAAGCCTTCGTCCACCAGGACCATTTCCACTATGGACCCTAAATGTGCCTGAACATGAAAACTATATTAATTTTGTTTGATAATAAACTTACTACCAAAGTAATTGTTTATCCCCAAGGCTTTAAAAATAATTTAGACCAATCGGGCGAAGTAACCGTCAGATCTACATATAGTTGCGGCGGCGAATGCTTAAAATTGCGTAATCAAATTCTGAACCAAGCACAGACATTACAATTATTGTTGTTTTCTTTTACGAATATAATCCAAGGAACCGCTAGGTTAACCGTATGTCGAGAAATCGGTTTTTGACATTCGACATTGATGACATTCGCCGCGACGACTATACCTATAGTAAATTTAAAAACTTAAAGCTAAATGTAGCAAAGTATTCCCCAAGGTTATGACGCGTAGCTGTCGTCTTAGTTATGCAGGTATACTGCATTGTGTCATACCAAACCAACCCAAACTTAACAACCCAACCCAACCGACCCCGCCCAATTGGAGAAATGAAATTGAAAAAATGGCGTTTATCAAACTTGAAACATATTATATTATTAATATTTGTGAAGTATTTAACAATTTAAGTTTGAAGATTACCAGTTGTGCTTAACAAAAATGAATTTACAAATTTAAAAATAAATATATATATGTATGTTTTTGGTCAACATTTTTATTTAAAAAAAGAAACATTTTGAATATCCTTGGAATTCTTTAAATAAAAGTTTTAATATAACTCAAAATTTAAAAAGTAATAAATTGTTAACGTAATTTTTAGGATTATCATACAGTTCGTATAATATTACAAAAAATGTTTTTGTTTTAGAAATAAAGAAATCAGTGCTTAACTTTACAGTAATTTCTCTTAAGTCATAGCAATAGATACAAACTAAATTTAAAATGCACTTTTTCCGTGGATTTAATGTTAAAACAGACTGCAATGCATGTGCTTGATCGAAATGGAAATTGCCGGTTTTGCTACACCCGGAGCGATGGAGATTGCTGAAAGCAGGGCCGGCCCGAGGTACGGGCGAACCGGGCAACCGCCCAGGGCGGCATAATGGGGGGGCGGCATTTTTACGATTTGTTAATGATAATCAATTTTATTCAACATACTAAACATTTTTCGATTGGCGATTTTTTCAAGAATTACGCTCGAGAAATGCAGTTTAGATAATTTAATATCTTTGTTACAAAGATTTAATAGAGGCGCTCTGGGAAGACGACCTTGGCGCCCTCTTTTATTCGTTTCTTCAATCACATCCTGTAGTTTTCTATAATTTTGTTTGACAATTAACAATTAATAATTGACAAATATTATATCACGTGCATTTGCACTGATTTTAAAATCAGTGCATTGCTAAGGTAATTTGATAATTAGAAGTATAAAATGTCTGGAAAATGCAAAAAAGATTCAGGAACTTTTTATAAAAACAAAAGAAGGGCGCGTGCGGCGGAAAATCGAGTACTAGCAGCAACCTTTTTCAAATTCTTGCAAAAAGAACCATCGTAGGCAGGTATACTAATTATACTATAATTAAACAATATTGCATATATGAAAATGAAGTTTAATTTTTGTTGTGTACATCTAAACATTGTTTTTAGAGGTCTAAAATCAATCTTCTGACGTGCATCACAGCAGGATTCGGTTTTGCCAAAGTCCGCTAAACTCATTACGTAATTATTAAGTTAATTTACTTTTTGTTTAAAGATGATTCACCTGAAGTAAGTAAGTTACTTAAAATATTCGGGTGCACAAAAATACGATATTTTAACAGCAATTACCTATGTATGTAATAATCTATAGCTATAGTGTTAGGTGCGCGGACGAGCGATCTGATTGGTTACTCTAAAAGGTATGCTGCCACCAGGACCAATGGGTCCGTGTGTCTCTCAGGCTATGTATTTGTGAAATAAAAAAGGTGTTTATGATTATAATTAGGTTTTTAATTAACCAGCAAAAGAATACAAGTAAATATAAAGTAAAAATTAAAATAAAACTAAAGTAAAATTAAAGATAAAAGAAATAAAAGTAAAGTCGAATTATTAACAATGGTAAATTCTAGCTAAGGCAAATAATAGAACTTATCAACAAAATTAAATAATAATAACCAGAATAGTTTCCCCAAGGGAGAGCAATATCAGTTTAACACCAAGGTAAGAGCTTATACTCACAAATAATTATACCCACGAACATTGGACTTGACACTTTGGAAAAAGAGGGTAGTTTTAAAGGTAGAAAAAGGTATCTGCACTACACCTGGCACTTGGCACTGCTGCTTGTTGACTACTAGAGTGTTTGGTGAACTGAATTTTATAAGTTTATTCGCGGATGGTTTTTATACCAAAAGTTAGCCAATTAATTGAAAAAAATAGAGATAAAATGAAAAAATAAATGTAGGAAATAACGTAATCAATTTTGCTAAGGTCGCGACCCATCGGCAAAATATAAAGGCGGTATTTTTATTCTAGAAAAATAGCGTGATCAAATTGTGTCATATTTCGCAGGAAAAATACGCAAAATCATTTAGATAAGACTGAATTGAAATATAACGACGCATGTAATCTTGACCCGACCTAGCCATTGACCTTACTTAAGAAATATCAAAATATAAAAATAAATCGGTTGTAATATGCCGAAAAAGTAGAAAAAATAACGTAATTTATAGGTGTAAACCTAACATTGCTCCCCTCTTTTTAAGAAAGATACATACTACATACGTAGTATGTCTTTCTTTAACCTATATACTTAAGGAAACTGCTAATCCATAAACAATATCCTAATAGTTATCCTAACCCTATCTATTAAAAATAACTACGAAGTATCTCTTTCTTTAACCTATGTACTTAAAAAAACTGCTAATTCATAAACAATATCCCAATAATTATCCTAACCCTATCTATTTCTAAATTCTATATAGTGTCATTCTCACGGTTTGGGGTCTTCTTCGGCGGGGACTTGGACAGGGGCGGAGACGAATGTCACTCTTCTAAACAGCTTGTCTATTCCTTTCCGATTAAGAAGTCTTCTCTGGCACCATATCGTGATGACCAAAATGAGGAGGACTCCAGCGGTTACCACTGCAATGGTTATGTATAACCAGTAACGCTGATTTTCCTCATATTCCAGGGACTTGAGCTGGGTTGTCATCCATTGTACTTGATCCATCTCTATGTCGGTGGCTGTAAAGTTGTTGGTTTTGGCATAATCAACAAATGTCATTGTAGGGACTGCTTCCTCTTCTTTTACTGGCGCTGAGGGTGGGGGACTGATTAGTGCTGGCATCTCAAATTTATCGAAGCTCGAGTGGAGCGGAACTGTCTCTTCGCTGTGAGGAAGAAGCGTGTGACCATCGATCTTTGCATAACATCCTTTTTCCAATGAAAGGATACCGCTTCCTTTAAGTTTAACTGATTTTACGGTTTGGAACTCATTTTGAGTATTGTTTTTTCGTAGACAAGTTATAACCATCTTATGTTGTCCAACTAATCCATATGCCCATTTATTATCTCCTTTGGTCCTTACGAATTGGGAAACTGGCTTGAAGTTAATTTTCTTTTGACAGTAGTGGTGTCTCATCATTGTATCCTGTCTAAATAGGGCTATGTTGCAACTAGGCTCTGGTAAGTGACGAATTGAATGGGTTGGTTTGCATATCTTGACCTCAGTTTCGGTGCACTCAGCTAATTCTCCACCATCGAATTCGTAGTAGGATTGTCCATCATCTGTGACAGCCAGGTACTGTCTTGGTACGTTGTAATAGGATGACGTCTTCGATGTTTCGTTATAGGACGGTAGTCGTGTAGCCTTATATAGCGTAAACGTCCGTCCCAGTGTTGTGACAGGAATCTTCACAAATATACGGAGCACCTGGTTTACCACTGCGACCTGGGTTGTACATGTTGCATAAAAATTATGGATGTCGACCATTCTCACCGGGTGTAGAAATGCATAACTGGTTGGTAGTTGATCTTGGATAACTTTCAATGTAGCTTGCAGTATTTGAGGTGGTACAATAGCGTTGCTGAATTTTCCATTAGATGCTTTGTCTAATCCCATCATCAATTTGTCCAGTTGGGCTTCTAATGAGGATAGTATGGATTCTAATATTCTTATATTTGTATTCACATTGACGTTCGTATTAATAAGACGGATGGTGACGTCATGGTTCCTCTGGAGTTGTTCTTTGGTTCTGAGTATTTCATGTCTTAGTAAACGAAGCGATTCTACCATCTGGGTCAGTGTGGCACTGTTCTTCTTTGATAAAGTGTATGTCCTGTTTAATACACTTGCCTGGGCTTTCACTACATGAACAACTTCTTGGTCATGATCTGCATACTTCTTCAACTGGTCATGAAGATTTACCAAGTCATTATTATCCGGGGTTCCAAACAGAAATTTCAGTGCTGTTCCTCCTACGTCCAGCAGTCCTCTTTTATTTCTTTCTTGGGGAAGTGTTGTTTCCAAAATACCATTTACAGCTTGGATAATGGCGTCGACCCTGTCGTCTATTATGGCTTGTTCTCCTTTTGAAACCATCAGGATGCTTCCATTAGGTACTTCTCTAATGAACCTCTCGCTAACTTCAACTATACTTCCCATCCTTTCCTTGACTTTGTACGCCTGGTCCAGGAAGTTTCTCAAGTTGATGTCTACTGCTAAGACCCATTGTTCGTCCGTTAGAACGATCCGTCCTTGCCTGATGAAGATTACCCCCTGTGATAGGTCCTGGACTGTATCCGTGATCGCACCGGGGATGGTACCGATCAGAGCACCTGTAACAAATTAACTGTTCTTAGAACTAAATTCTTCTAGGTAGGATCCATGGGTGTTCGGTTGAGGGTCCTTGACTTCGTGTATACATTCGGGATGGTTCCGGGGGGGTGGTTATCGTTCCTTGGATACCATTGTTTTCCGCTTGGGGTGGAAAAGCTTCAAAGTCCACGGATTCACTTAATTCTAAAATTGTCTTTTGGGCACTATTGTCTTTCTCTTCAGGTGGAAAATCTTTTAATTCTACGGGTTCACTAAACTCTAAAATTGTCTCTGT